CTGTGGCAAATCCCAGATTTGCAACAATTTCCATGTTGGCACATGCAGTTTCAGTGCATGCAGACTGTTGCAGACATGTTCTCAATATGTCAGGGCACATGCAAAAACCATGTGTCCCAATAAATGTACCCTGAACCTTACTTCACATCTGTAAACATTATGCATTTCCAGTACTTTCTAACTCATCACCCTTCCAGACATTTAGTTGATTTCCTAATATCCGATTTTTAAAGGCCTTCCGTACAGGTATTGCAATATACTTGGGGGGGAATCTAGAATCCCCTAACTTGCAGTCATCACAGCAGCATCCAACAGCTGGCATTACACTCATGGCCCAAGAAATGGCAAAAAGATTTCTACCTGGGCCTCTCCGATCTACACCATTTACAGCGTGGCGCAATCCCATTGGCATTGTCACAGGGAATCTTCCCTCACACTGTAACTGATCATAGACTTATCTGCACCTCACGCCTCGGCTACCCCAAGTCTCAACTCCCTCATACCCTCCAAGGAGTTTTCATTAAGTATGCCACCATTGTTCATACCATTACAGCTATCACTCAAGCAGGGGGAAAGGCCTGGTTAAGTAAAACTGATATCACAAACACATTTCAGACTGCCACCATCCACCGTACACTGGCACTTACAGGGCATTTATGGGCAGCAGTTAATATTTCTTCTCCCGCTTAACTTTCAGGTCAAGAGCAGCCCACAATTTTCAATATATTTGTTGAACTCTTTGCTGGTTGTGGTTAAACATATACAGATGCCCCACAGTCATACACTCCCAAGACGATTTCTTGTTTGTCAAAGGGAACGCCTTTCTAGAAGCTTCAAGGAAGCCATTAGTATGTCTGAACACTTGGGTGTCCCAGTATTCCCTAAGGTCACAGAAGACCCAGACACTATTGTTACATTCCTGGGCACACAACTTGACTCGGCATCCATGCCAACAAGTTACCACGTGAGAAATAGGAACAGTCGCGACAACACCAATTACCACCTCCTGCTTGGTACTTGCGACTGCATGGAACTACAATCCCTACCAGGTTCCTTAAATTTTGCTATGCGCATTAAACCGCAGGCCGTGTTTTCATCTCAGACCACTTTGCTTTTTCCACACTGCCGCATGATGATCCGGGGCTGTCCCTAGACAACCAAGCCATGGCAGACCTACACATATGGTGGACTT